AAATGGTGTGAATTACAGGGTAGGCATAGAATTTTTGCTCCAAGGACAAGTCTTTCTGAACATTTGCAAATAGATACTTGTCAGCCTTGTGGCCTACTTCCTTCCTTTTCTCTCATCCTCTCCAGTGGCTTGTTCATTTACGCAACTACGCTTTCTGAAAACACTGGTGCAATAAGTAAATTTGCCAGATTTGTCAAACAAAACGTTCATAGGGCCCATAGCTCTAAAGCAAAGCAAAAGGCTGATTTTGAGCTGTTTGTAAAGATGCAAGTTGAAACTGATGGGCAAAAGTTTTCTTCCTTCCCTCCCCCTCTTCCTGCTTACAATGGTAGTTTAAACTTTTATGTTTCAGTCTGTTTGCTGCGATCAAGAGTAGGTTTACACAGTAGCTGTAGATAACATCTGGAATAATTGAGTGTTAGTGGTGTCCATTTCTGAAAGCTTATGTCAGGAAGACTCCTTTTTTTAAAAAAAGAAGCTGGATTATGAAATGGTAATTATACTAAACATAAGAAGCTTTAGGAGAAAGCAATTACTGAAGAGGGATTATAGCAAGTAGCTGAAAGGGCCCTATTTGAAAGGGCTTGAAACAATAAATGCACTGTAAATCATTCAAATGATAATTTTGGTGTGCTGAGAAAGAGAAAGCTAGCAAGATGGTCACAATACTGCTATGCTTACCCCAACTCTGTTCTTGGAATCTGGTGGGTTTAAACACACACACACTGAGAGCCTGTACATTGATATAAAAACCCAAGACCCTCAAATTCTCCAGGAATTCACTGTTGACAGCCAATGAATAGCCCCAGGTTTTCCACACAAGGGTGTTGTGCCATTAAGAATGTTTTGTTTATTTGCAACATACTTTGCTTGCCTGGAGAGCCAACTCTATTTCTCAAATAGTGATGTGATGCCAAGACACTATTGGGTGGTGGCCTACTGTGTGAGGTAAGAGACTAAGAATACATTTTCAGTTGGAACTTTGAACAACCCCAGAATTTAAGCAGAACCAGTTGTCATGCAAGAGAGAACTGGAAGATTTAAGAACAGCTGCAGAGAAAATTTATAAAATCCCAAGGATGTAGCACATATTTGATTGTGGAAATAAACAAACTGTGCCACAAATGGGAATTCAGTACGCCAAGTGTCAACACTCCCAAAACCACAGATCCATGCTGTATTTTGCTGTTCAGGTTGAGATTTGGGTCAATGTAGTTTGATTGCCTCAAATTTCTTGAAGCAGTTAGCAGGAAAAAGGTGCTGAAGAGAAGTGCAGTAAAGTATTAATGATCTTCAGAAATGCTGATACAGGGAAATCTGTTTTTTTTAATCACTGAAGCAGCAGCTCCAGGATCAAATATTTAGGGGCACATTTGGAATGCCAAGAGAGTATTCTGAGTATTCTGGCAAAATGGCTGCCAAGAGAGGAAGTGTTGCCATAGTGAGCTGGCTAGTCAGGCAACACCCAGGAAAAGTAAGTTACTTAATCCCCTGAATCCAAGAAAGAGGCGAGGACTGAGCTTCAGAACAGAAAACCACTCTGTTGAATCTATGTTTTTCTGTTCCAGCATTAATTTCACAGACGGCATACTGATGTAGTTCAAAGATAAGTGACTTGACCAAAGAACTCATTATAAAACTGCTGTGGGAGTTAGGGCTTCAAATGTCAAACCACACATTTCCCCTTACACAAAGCACATTGAAATACCAGTTTCATAAAAGAAGCCCGGTGATGCACACAACAAGCAGAATAGCCTCATGTCTAAAACAGAGACAACACATATACTGTATACCGTAGACATAAAACTCAGCTAAACCCTAAAACACCAGCTAACCACCCATAAAACTTTTGCTGTTGCCTAGTGCAGTGGTCCCCAACCTTGGGCCTCCAGATGTTCTTGGGCTACAACTCCCAGAAGCCTTCACCACCATCTCTGCTGGCTAGGATTTCTGGGAGCTGAAGTCCAAGAATATCTGGAGGCCCAAGGTTGAAGACCACTGGCCTAGTGGACCCAAGAGAAGAGAAGACATCAGGTGATAAAAGAGAGGGGATTGTCCCCATATTCTACTGCTTTTGGTGGAGGTGGTGGATTGTATTTTTTTAACCTTTATTTGCTTGCTTTTATTTGTTGTTTTTTGGGAATGTAGGTTGTCTTTTTTTATTAATTGTTCTCCCTCTCCCGTGTGTGTGAGAGTGCTTTCTCTGTTTGATTGAATTTTTAAAAATGTTATTTGGTTAGTTTATTTATTTTGTCAAATGTATATATTTTGGTTGGGGGGTTGGAACTGTTTTGTGTCTGTGCAGATGGGTGGTCCAGGAGTGAACTTTGTGACTGTGTCACTGGGCTGTGTGCATGGTTGTTGTAGTCAGTTGGACACAGCTTGGGGCATTTCTCTTGTATTTTTCTTGGTGTGTTGTTGATGAGTGTGCATCCCTGTGTGCCAGGCAGCCAGCGTTTTCCCGCCTACTTCCTTGCCTCGTTTTCTGTTGGGCTTTTTGTGACAAGAGTTCTTTTGTGCAAGGTGGGTGGTGTTGAACATCAACTGTTGTTTTGAATTTGATATTATAAGCCAATACCTCCATAGATCAGATTATGATTTTTCTTTCTCCTGCCTGTCGGAATAGATTGATTCTCCGTTGCCCTGGCTTTTCTGGAATAACTTTGGAGGGTTCGTTAAGCCTTTTAGATTATGCCAGAAAACATGAATAGGGAAACATGAAATCAAAAACCCAAAAGAGACTGTCTCTTTCAGTTAAATCAAAGGATTGGTGCACAAAAAACAGAAAAGTGACACCCCCTGAAAGAACTCAAAATAAATATGAAACATGTTGCTATCCACAGTCCCAAGTATTTGCCTATAAAAGATTGTTAACTCCTTGATAATTATAGGGCTGGTGCATTTTCTATCTGTACAAGAAAACAACAAGGGCGTTGTTTTTGCCTTTCAGTTCTAAATTACCGTATTTTTTGCACCATAAGACACACTTTTTCCCCACAAAACGGAGGTGGAAAGTCTGCGTCTTATGGAGCGAAGAAAACAGATTATATTTTCCTGTTTTCTTCTCTTAAAAGTCTGTACAAGAAAACAACAAGGGCATTGTTTTTGCCTTTCAGTTCTAAATTAATAATGTTTGGCCCATTCTTGCAAGGTGAAGCCAGGTTTGCAAGTGTGTTTCCAGAACTTGTCCCAGTGAATGCAGCTTTGTTGGCTTGGAGATTCTGGGAATTGTAGTCTAAAAATGTAACTTTTACAAACTCTGGAGGCAGACAACTACAATCAAAGAGAAACCAGAGACATCTAGAAACGAAATCTAAATGCTGTAAGCCCAAAGCTGTCATAAATAACAATTCCAGCACTTGCCATATCAAGTTTATATCACAACTTCAGTGTCTTGATATAAACATATGATTTAAAAACATAATAGGTTACCACTGAATTGAGATGTAATTAACCATATGGAAAGGAATTACAGCAATGACAGTTAAAAGGAGAATAAACTATTTGATGATAGAACAAGTGCTTTTAAGTATTTTCTTTTGATGTCCACATGTTTGTTACTGTAATTGTTTTTCTCTCATGCTTTCTTTTCTTTGATATAACATATTTATACAAAAATACTGGAGAAATCTAGCAGTGTTTTGGCTGATATACTTACAGTGCTGTATTTATAATATTTCATATTTGTGTCACAAAAATCTGCTAGATCCCTATGCAAAGTTTACAAGCAGCACATGAAAATGGCCACCCTTTCCTACTGTTCTTCAGGAACACATACTGTATATCCAGCCTGACTAGTGGCCACTACAAGTCTTGCCCACCATGTGCCCAGCAATATACATGCTCAGTGTGAGTCACCCATTGGCTGCACATCCGTGACTAGAGCTGAAGCTGTGGCTGCTAGGCAGGACAAAGCCCACAAAGGAGTGCGCTTGTATGTTGTACATAGAGCTGTGGCAAACCGTGGATATGTGAAACTGCGAATACAGTATTGATCTTATGTACAAGGGAGTCCTACTGTTTAGTAGTACTATGTACTATGAACCAGTGTTGAAGGATAGGTGAGCCTCGTGGCGCAGTGGTTAAACCGCTGTACTGCAGCCAAAACTGTGCTTGTGACCTGGGGTTCAATCCCAGGTAGCCGGTTCAAGGTTGACTCAGCCTTCTATCCTCCCGGTAAAATGAGTACCCAGCTCGCTGGGGGGGAAGCAATGTGTAGCCTGCATATCTAACTTGTAAACCACCAAGAGAGTGCTTGAAGCACTATCGGGCACTATATAAGCAGCATGCTTTGCTTTTTGCTTTGCTTTGTTTCAGCCCTATAGTGCAGTATTTTTATTCTCTACTTTTTAAAACGTTTATAACATCTCTATGTATATATGTACGTACTTCCCATATTTAAACTGTTAATAAGCCAGGTCATGTTCCCAGTATTTTGCCATTAATAATTTAGCTACCATTTCCAACTATATTAGATGATAATCACCAATATTAAGACAAATAATTTTAAAAGGCATTATTTTTCATGCTTAAATCTGTGCTGTTGAAATCAAAGAGGCAGTGTGTTAGAGTGCTTACATCCCTTGGAATGACAAGGGATTAATGAAACTAGGCTATTTCCTCTTCAGGCATTAATGTGGGTCATTCTGTGTCCCTTGACACTCACATAAATCCTTTGCCTTTAATGAGTTTAACTGAGTTTAGTTAAATGTAACTGAGCTTATAGAAGAAGAAAAGAAGAGGGAGATTCCCCTAGGAAAAAGGAGAAAACTAGGAATCGTAAGCTTTAGTAGGAATAAAAAAAATTAAATTCCCACATACTTAGCAGTCAGTGTAAGTGCAGTTGAGATTTGAAGTGGAGGTCCTTTTTCTTCTAAGACTGGAGCTGATGCAAGTTGGAGAAGTATCCCCAGGCCTTCCCTTATTGATACATCATTTTTTTTCTGGCTGTTGGGAAAGGAACTACAACTGAAAGATGCAAGAAGCATGGTAGGCTCTCTTTTTCCCCATAAAGAATTATGTATGATTTCTTCTGCAGGTTGTTCTAGTTCACCTATTTAATTCTAAAAAATATTTTCAGGCTGGATGGTTAGTATTCAGTCAGAGGGACAGATCCTGGTGCATCTCTCTGTGATGAGTATCATGGGAGAGAAATGCTTTGTTGCATTCGTTGACATACATTATGGATAAGGATAAGTAAAATATTTCTACTTGAGTAGTAAGCATTGTGCTTTGACTTACAAAACCAGAAAGTTGGTATTTTTCATTTACTCCCGTAGAACGAAGTAGGCATTTATGAATAACGTGTATGGGTCCCAGTAGAAGTGAAGCTAATGGAAAAGAAATCAAATCACTTGTTTTGCTCCTGGGGTCTGGACTGTGTTTTCTGATGCAAAGTTATCCTTTTTCCATCAGTGGGATTAATTCAGATACTGAAATTCAGTTTACATTGCAATCCTATCTGTGCCTTTCAAAAGTCAGTGCAACAAGAGCATGCAGCATACATATCAAGACTGTGTAAAATTATAACTAGGGATCGGCAAAGTCAGTGGGACTGGGGGTCAAATTCTTGTTCTCCATAACCCACCACGGGTCAGATGGGCCCTTCCATTTACTCTTTAAAGGTGGGGGACTTAGGGGACATCACAAGATCTCTAAGCTCCAGAAGGTGGAGGTAGGACTTTATTAGCCAAAAAGAGAGGGTTTTTTTGCACCACCACCCCCCCAGTTAACTTTTTGGTGCCACCTTTTTTATTTTGCCTAGCTTTTTGTGGACTGCAGCCCACTTTGGGTTTCAAGAAATAGGCTACAGTCTATGAAGGTCTATACCAAATGAAACAGGCTGGTCTTTAAGGGGCCACAAGGACACTACAGTACTTGGAAATTTTCTACATGGATTTTTAAAAGTCATGTTTGCTGAAAGAGCATTCATCTTTGCTGGTTTTGCTGCAACGGATTGCAGGCTAACATAGCTCCCTCTCCGGAAATTTGAGATCCTCTCCTACATCTTTTCATATAGGAGATTCCTGTTTATATATATATATAAAACAGGAATCTTGAAGGTGCAAACTGAGATTGAGACCAAGTTCTAAAGAGGGCCATTGCTTAGCAGTAGAGCACCTGCTATACATATAGAAGATCCCACATTCAGTCGGTGGTACAGTATCTCCAGACAGTGGTGTGCAAGACTCACGCATGAAACCCTAGAGAACCACTGCTGATCGATGTATAAGGCAGCCTTCCCTGTCACTACATTACATGGGAAATGTACTTTCAGATCTTTTTCTCTCCCTGTTTTTCAGCTGCTGTCAGAGAGAAACTGAAATGAACTCATTCTTTATTGGAAACTGACAGAGCTATCTATATGCTATGCAAGATAAATGTGGAACACGGCACCCAAAGTAACTGCTATGAAATGAATTTTTTAAGCATTTTCCTTTAATACAATATACGATCTAGGAAAAATTAAGTGCATTTACCTGTAGTACATTGTTTAAAGAATTCATTTGGGCTTAGTAATGATAGACCAGAATCAAACATGTTTTAAGTACTTTTTCCATTTAAAATAATTTCACTGAATTTAGGCACTTCACTTTAAGTGTCATCTTTTTAGTGTACAATCAAATTGTTTTGATGGGACATAATCAGATATTGACATATTTGGAATTCAGTTATGTATTGTTCAGTTTCTGTGAGTCTTCCTTAAGTTATTTTGCCAGGATAGGATTTCATCAAACATAAGACTCCAAAAATGCTAATGTTAAATTAATAAGTTAACCTTGGTGCCTTTTTCTCAGATAACAAGGTAAGTGTTTTCAGCCAATATTTAACCTAGTTTCTTTGAACAAAGGAGTGTGAGGCAGTGATATGTTTGTTTAAAGATACTGATCATTTTAGAAAGGAGTCATCTAACAAAGGTGAGGAGAAAAACATGGTCAAATTAGGCAGATTAAAGATGCATAGACATTCTTGGGATCTTTTTTTTTTAATTAAAACCTTCCCAAAAGCCCTTTAATATTGCAATGGAAATTAAAGTTATTTGTTTTAAGCTGCTGTTATTTGTTTTAAGCTGCAGAAAAGATAAATTATTTTACTGGCAGACTTCAGCCAACAGTTGCTTCTTGGGAAGACATTTCTTTTGTTCAGTTATATCAGGTCTGTCTTTCAAGCTACTGTATGCTGATTCTAGCTTTCTATTGGGAGTAATTTCATCCTAACCAAGTCTTCTGTTAGACCAGGTGCGGGAAATGTAGGCCGGGGTGGTTCAACATCATGACTTCCAGCTGAAGAACCACAGTTTTCGCATCCTTGTTCTATAGGCTATATTTGTTTCCTAGTAGAGGGACCCAAGCCAGCTACACATTACAGGGTAATGGCATCAGAGTTCTGGTCAGCTGTGGGCCAGGCTAAAAGACAGAGGTCTGCCATGGTCGCAGATTGGACTCAGGGTGGAGTCCTATTCCCAGAACATCATACAATTGCAGGGAAATTTATTGCACTGGACAGCACAACATGCGATCCAAAATCCAAACTCTATGCCCGTGTGATAACACCCTTAGTTAGATTCCCTACAGTTACTTCAAGTAGTAACAAGAGAGGATGATTTTTGCCTCAGTTGTCTGCTTTTTTGCTGGAGGAAGGGGCAAAAGATCAAACTTCATATGAAGATTCTTTTTAACTGTAAAAAAAATTGAAACATGTACAAGACCACTTCCAACCTCTAAAGTAAATACTATCTGAACACAGCATCATGTTTTCTAGCATGTATGAATTGTTCCTTGGTTAAGGCACTCTGTATGTGCCCAACTGACTCAAGCTATATGACACAGCACAACATGGCGCATGAAGCTGACACAGTCAGGTCACAACTTGGAGAAACAGCCTAAATTCTATATTTCCTGCTCTCCATCAATACGAGACAATTTTATACAGATGCTTCACATAAGCACCATTGTACATTAAAAAACGAACATAAAATATATAAAATGCAGAATACTTAGCTTAGGGCTCTTAATAGGTAAAGGTAAAGGTTCCCCTTGACAAATGTCCAGTCGTGTCTGACTCTAGGGGGCGGTGCTCATCCCCGTTTCCAAGCTATGGAGCCAGCGTTTGTCCGAAGAGAGTTTGCATGATCACATGGCCAGCGTGACTACACATGAAATGCCATTACCTTCCCACTGTGGTGGTACCTATTTATCTACTCACATTTGCGTGCTCTCTAACTGCTCAGTTGGCAGGAGCTGGGACAAGCGACAGGAGCTGACGCCATTGCGTGGGTTTGATCTTATGACTGCAGGTCTTCTGACCTTGCAACATAGAGGCTTCTGCAGTTTAACCTGCAACACCACCAGATCCCAGGGTTCTTAATACTGAATACCGTAATGCCTCATTGGATGCAAGCAAATTCATGCATCAGACTTTGGAAGTCTTAATCTAATCCATTTTTGGCTTTTTCTTACTCTACAGGCTAATTTGCCAGTAGCTAACTGGTGACAGAAGGCATGGAAGAAGAACTGTGCATTCTACAGACACTGGAACCATCCATCGATTGCAGTTTCTACTGTAAAGCTCTGTATAGCAGGGCAAATACTCACTTTCACGAAATGGACGTCATGATAAAAAGAACTTCCCGATAAGGAAAGTCACAGGGTGCAATATAACGGTAGTCCTCCACTCATCATGTGCTTTATCTTCCAGTCAATTGTAAGATTTACTGCTCTTGATAAAGACTTTTATTTTATTGGTAGCACTAGGACAGTGTTATACCATATCAAAGAATGGTGGTGTTTTGAAGATCTCCTGTCTTGTGTTCACAGTCTTTAAATGTGTTGTTCATGTCACAGATGGAATCTGCTGACACAATGCTTAAGACAGAAATCCAGAGGCATGAGTAGAGAAAGTGTATGATAAATTGTTGACATGACAAACTTTCCATTTATTCATCCTTGGGCTATTATCTAGATTATTAATTTTTTAAAACAAAGTCAGTTCTTATTTTTCTCCTTTCATTTCACTGCATTTGCTGAATGTTTACAAGCAAAAAAGGAGGGAAAGGTGCCAGTAATGAAACTCTGAACAGCTGATGGCCATCCATGACTTGAAAAACTATACATACTTCTTTTGTTTGCTTATTTTAGATGGCCTGTATAGCAACTACAAATAACCTTTTTTCACAATAAAGTTGTGGGTTGTTATTGAACTGTCAAAATACAACATTCTTTGTAAAGTTTATTTTTGAGGAAACACTGAAAGGAATCAAATCATTACTAAAATCCATACCTGCAATGGAATACCATTTCTTACAAGTGTTTGGGAAGAGGTTAAAGGAAGTAAACTTTTAAAAAACACATTGATGATCCATATGTTAGCATCTGTCTATCTAGAGCTTGGGGGGGCATACCCCCCTCTGGACTTTGGAGGTCCATAACTCTTCTGCATGACTCAACTCTTTTTTGAAAAAAAGCTACTTCTACTTCTTCAAAGAGATCAGGAGAAATATACTGAAAATGTTCCCATACCCGCAATACAGTGGTGCCTCGCTTAACGACATTAATTTGTTCCAGCAAAATCGCTGTAGAGCGAAAACGTCGTATAGTGAAATAAAAAAGCCCATTGAAATGCATTGAAAACCATTCAGTGCATTCCAATGGGCTGAAAACTCCCCATCTAGCGAAGATCCTCCATAGGGGAGGCCATTTTCGGTGCCTGTAGAGCGAGGAATCCATCCAAAAACACAGCGAGGAGCCATTTTGAGCACCCGGCAGTCATTTTGAAAACCCGACGATCAGCTGTTTTGATCGTCGTAATGAGAAGAATTGGTTCCCGAAGCAGGGAACTGATCTTCGCAAAGTGAAAAAAAAAAAACATTTAAAACATAGTTTTGTGATCGCAACTGCGATCGCAAAAACATCGTCGTGAAGCAGATTTGTCATTATACAGGGTAATCGTTAAGTGGGGCATGACTGTAGTTGCAAAGGGATTTAAAGAGGGTTTGTGTGTGTGTGTGTGTGTGTGTACACACATACATGGAGCAATTGAATCAGTGGGGATCTGATGAGTCACTTCCTCTGTAAATTCCATTAATTCAAATGCACCTTTTGATACTAATGTAAAATCACAACTACAGTAGGTGAACTGAATCATTGGGGATCTGGTGAGTCAACTCCAGATGTTCCAGTGTGACTTGATATGCTGAGCAACTTGATTTCAGCCACTGACTTTGACTACTGAGTCCTCACCAAGAATCTGCTTGATATTTTAAGGTGCATCCAAGTGGCAGAGTGGCGGGTTTATCTTAATTTATCCAGCTCCATTTCTAGAGTTAGGATAGAAGTTTTCCAAAAGGGATTAAAGGTAGGGCACTTTTAGAAGGCTACAGCAGATGGGTTGCAGTTTGGTGTCTAGTTTTTCACGTAACTTTCAGCATGCCATAAGGCAATTAGTTACCACTATTTCAAAAAAAGAAGAAAACCTGCTGCTTTGATACCTCCTCTTTTGTTAGCAGAAAAGAGGAACAGGATACACAAACTGGAATCTAAGCCTGAATTCTTACTATAGCAAAAATGAGTAAACTTAAGTTACCTTACCATACACAAATAATGAAAATAAAGCAATGAACAGAAAAGATAATGTTGCTGAGAGGAGTAGGAGGCAGTAGAAAGAGAGGAAGACGAGGCAGATTGTAGGAAACCTTTCAAACATGAAGAGAACAAGCTGAGTATTAAACAATTGGCGCTTGAACACAGAATAGAAGCTAAGCTTATTGCAGTTTGATTTTAACAATCTGCTGTTTTGATATAGTTGGAACAGCTTTCAACTATTTATATTCATAGTTTGATAGGCAGGCTGTAGCAAAATAATTGCTGTCAACATTAAAAACTATTTGTGGTGTCAGTAACATAGATATAGAACAATATGAAAGGAAGACAGTTTTAAAAAACCACAGAGCATGATTTTGTCAGTGATCTATTTTCTGGAGGTGTTACTCAAACTGAAAATAACAACTCTTCTGTTGCACATAACAGTTATTTAAGTATCCCCTTTTAGAAGTTCTGAACTATATACTGGGATTGTTGTTTTTTTAGACAAGGTAATGGAACCTTGTGATGCTACCCACATAGAATCAGTTATTAGCAAAATGTTTTTCATGTTTTAATGCAACCTGCTAAAAATAAAATGTAAACTGAAATGAAACCCGATAGTAGACTGACTGGCCTACAGACTATACAGAATTCTAGTCATACAATTTGAAACTTTATGCCACCAGTTATGTTGGGACATCACTTTCCTTTTTCTGGATGAACATTGCTGCTACAGTCATAAAGATGTTTAATAGGAATAATTGGATTAATTTCTGGCCGAATGTCTATATGTCTATCTACATTAAAATCCCCAAAGCATATAACATTCATAGGTTGAAGAAGAAAAGTACTTTGAAACCCATGATAGCCTCTCTTCTTCTTCTTCTTCTTCTTCTTCTTTGGTAGGAATAAGGAAGTGTTTCATGCTGGATCACAAGAAGGGATCTCTAATTAGAATTCTGTTTGCACAGTGGCCAACCAGATTCTCCAAAACACGTATGCGTTACCACATTTTCACTCATATGCCTTATCAATTAGTATAAAGAAACACACTGTCTCTGATACGGAACACAGTGGCTGAAATCCTGTTGAGCAGCTATGATTGTGTAACTCAGTGTTATGCCAGTCTTATCTGTAACACCAGCAAGGTGGAAGTCCTATCCACAAAGCACTTAATGCAGGTGCATTGCGCAATCAGTCACAGTGGGAACTGCGAGTGACTGCACAGTCAAACTGCACCATCTTTTTTGCCTGGGTGTAATGCATGACAGTTTTAATGGCTATGTAACTTATGTTGTGACAAACAGGATTCTGGCTAATGGCTGAAATCTAGTACAGTAATAATTGCAAGTACAACAGGCCTGTTGAATCAATAGTATTTACAAAGGAGTTGATTCGCCAGATCCCCACTTATTCTGTGAGCTTACTCTAGTTAGTTGTGACTTACTACTGGACTTCAGCCAATATATTATCCATCATAACTAGTACTCATTTGATAGTATTATTGTTCATAAATCTGCCAGCTGAACAAACAAACAATGCATGACAGTTTTAATGGCTATGTAACTTATGTTGTGACAAACAGGATTCTGGCTAATGGCTGAAATCTAGTACAGTAGTAATTGCAAGTACAACAGGCCTGTTGAATCAATAGTATTTACAAAGGAGTTGATTCGCCAGATCCCCACTTATTCTGTGAGCTTACTCTAGTTAGTTGTGACTTACTACTGGACTTCAGCCAATATATTATCCATCATAACTAGTACTCATTTGATAGTATTATTGTTCATAAATCTGCCAGTCCTTTTAAAACCATCCTACTCAGTATATCTAGTACTGTACTTCTAAATGGCACAACTGTATGAAGAGTTGCATTTTTCTGAATCTTCCACCATTTAGATTCATGGGATGATCCTGAGTTCTAATATACAATACAAAGAGGAAGAATATCCTATTTACTTTATCCACATCATGCTGTATTGTAGATCCTCACCTTTTTCTTCAAAGTTAAACAATCCCCAAAACTGTAACCTTTCTGTATGAAGGAATCTCTCCACCCTTTTGATTTTTTTTTGGTTCCTCTTTGTAACTCTGCAATTTCCTTTTTGAGGTTCAGACATCAGAACTATACACAGAAGTCAAAGTGTACCGTGGCTTTTTGTAAGGGCAGTATGATATTGGAAATGTTATTTCTGCTTAATTTTGCAGTAATTACAAGAGGGCACGTTGGGTGAATGTTTTCACTCCGTACTACAACCCTAAGCTCCTTTTCCTGGTCAGCTACTATCAGCAAAAATGCCATTTGGGTAAATGGGAAGTCAGATTATGGGTGGGAGGGGCCATGTCCACCAGTTTACATTTGCTTAGACTGAACACCATGCTGGACTGTAGCTTTGGTTTGTAGCAGTTACTGCTCCTATCAGAAGTGGGGAAAGTGCTGCAACAAACAGAGGAATTACTGGGACACCAGTACTGTATATATATTTTTTCCATATGACTGATGGCCAGGTAATGTGTGAATGCGCCACAAAGTTCAGCAGCTTTAAATTTCAATTCTTAGGCAATATCCTTTTTAGAAAACATAGACTGGGAAAGTATAACCCTTCGCTTTGGCAGGCTCCCTGTTGCATTCACACAGTTTCCAAGATTAGGCACAATTGTGCATAAAGAGAGGTTACTTACCTGAAACTCTGGTTATTCGCGTGGTCATCTGTAAAATTGCACTAATGGGTTAATCTGTGCCTGCGCAATTAGGCACGATTGTGCATAAAGAGAGGTTACTTACTTGAAACTCTGGTTATTCGAGTGGTCATCTGTAAAATTGCACTAAAGGGTTAATCTGTGCTTGCGCAGAGCAGCCTCAGAATCTTCTAGACTCGAGCTCAAAGATATGGTGCTGGGACCTCCGAGATGCTGCCTGTAACCCCGCCCTGGCACTGAGTGCCTTAGTTCTGTGGAGATTGTGCATAAAGAGAGGTTACTTACTTGAAACTCTGGTTATTCGAGTGGTCATCTGTAAAATTGCACTAAAGGGTTAATCTGTGCTTGCGCAGAGCAGCCTCAGAATCTTCTAGACTCGAGCTCAAAGATATGGTGCTGGGACCTCCGAGATGCTGCCTGTAACCCCGCCCTGGCACTGAGTGCCTTAGTTCTGTGGAACTGCCCGCCGCTGCGCTGCATGCCATAAGGCACATGTGACAGACAGCGGGGAGGAAGGGCGGGAAGTGTGAATTCACAGATGACCACTCGAAGAACCAGTTACAGGTAAGTAACTTCTCTTTCTTCTTTGTGGTCTCTCTGAATGTACACTAATGGGTGACTAGCAAGCTGACTTACCAGGCGGAGGGACATCACGAGAGTACAGAGGCCAGGACGGCACAGCCCACAGCAGCCTCTGCTTTGGCCCAAACATCCAGGTGATAATGGGCCACGAAGGTGGATGTCGTGGCCCACGTAGCATCCTTACAGATGTCCGTCAAGCCAACACCTCTAAGGAAGGCTGTGGAGGAAGCAAGGGCCCTAGTAGAATGGGCCCTCACAGTGCATGGTAAAAGTGCATTGGCCAGCTCATATGCTAGGTGGATCGTGGCTGGTAGGAAGAGTAAACTCCCCAGCGTCTGGCTGCTGAATGTTTCTTTTGTACATTCTCTAGTATATCGTCAGTTTCAGCATGAAAAAGAGCTACTCCATTGAAGGGGAGGTCTTCGATACGTGCCTGAGCATCTTCGGATAAGCCGGCCATTCTGAGCCAGGAAAAATGGCACAGGGCTACTGAACTGGCCATGGGCTTGGCTCCCAGTGACTCCCAGGGCTTCCCCACTGTGATCGGGCACCTCCTGGGGGTCCCCTGCCGCCATGATTGGAGACCTTCTGGGGGTCCCTCGCCACCGTGATCGGCAACTTCGGAGGTCTCCGGAGGCCTCCTGGGGGTCCCATCGTGGCGGTGGAGGATCCCCAGGAGGTCTCTGATGGTGGCAGGGAAGCTCTGGGAGGTCTCCTAGGTCGAAATGTTCACCTGAGGGTCTGATCGCGGTAGTGGGAAATGGTGGGAAATTTAAAATTGCTCCCCCGCCACCGTGATCAGACCCCAGGAGGCCTCCGGAGACCTCCGAAGGCGCCGATCATGGTGGACCCCCAGGAGGTCTCCGATGGCGGCGGGGAAGCCCTGGGAGATCTGGGCCTCCTGGGGGGTCCCTCGCCGCCGCAATCGGAGGCAGCAGCTACCCAGCACTGGGAGGCTTGAGCCGAAACCCGGCCAGCTCAAGTCTCCCAGTGCTGGGTGACTGCTGCCTCTGCCACGGCTGGGGGTGAGCGGCCGAAGCACCCTGGCCAGGCTCAAGCCTCACAGCGGAGGTGGTCATGGCAGCAGCGATCGCAGCAGCGAGGGACCCCCAGGCGACTTCAGACTGGTAAGTGCTTTTTTCTTTTTTAAAAGCTGCTCTGGGTGGCTTTTTCAGGGTGGGTTTGGGCTGGGGGGGTTATGTTTCTGTGCTGTGTTTTTTTTGGGGTGTGTGTGAGATTTATTTATTTATTTATTTGCAGTTCCAGCGTGGGACTTGCTCCAATGTTTATTTTTGGATTTGTTTGTTTTTGTTTTTTGTTTTTGCAGTCCCAGCATGGGACTTGCAGCGTATTATTTTTATTTTTATTTTTTGTTTTTTTTTCTTCCCCTGGAATGCATTAATCAGTTTTCAATGAATGCATTCCTATGGGAAATGGTGCCTCAACCTACGAACTTTTTGACTTGCAAACACCGTTCCAATACGGATTAAGCTCGTAAGGCGAGGTACCACTGTAATTAGCAACTCACATGGTGAAGGCTGCCCATGGGGTCTATTTGTCAGCTGTCTTTATTTGGTGATATGAGAGATTGTTGGTGTTGAGAGTCTTCGACAAATACAGAATTTGGAGCTGGTTATTTTGGAGGAAAATGGCTCCTGGGTCATGTATTCTATAGGTGTTATCAATCCGCTTAGACATGGTATGGGGAAGGTTGGTTTTGTCCAGGATCTTTGCACAGTACTAAGGAGAGATGGTAACATTGAGATGTGCACCAGAGTGGTTGTATTTTTAGAGATTGGATCATATAGATGATCAGTTGGTTCTGTCGATGGTCAGTGGACTTGTAGATCAAGGGATTTAGCCATGCAAATCATAAGTTGGGCATAGGTGTGGAAATCCTCTGCCAGTGATAGCGAGTCGGTATTGACAATGTCCAACTCTGGAGAGGTAAGTAACACTGATGGAGTCTGTGGCCGAGATCCATGGTCAGAGCCATCGAGGTCACGTCTTGAGCCGACGGACTGTCGATCGACTTTGGTGTCGAGAGGCTGAGTCTTGTAGTATTGCCAGTTCTGAGTCAGAAAAGATGGAGTTTTAGCCTGGAGACGGGAGATCAAAGAACTCCACACTTAAAATGTTTGCAATCGGTACAGGAGGAAGTTTGATGTTGTTCTCCCAAAGAGAAAGTATGTCCATTGGAAAGTGGGATCTTATTATCACAGACAACGCAATGCTTAAACGGGCACAAAGGGGCCATGAATAGGAGAAAATAATTGAGGAGAAAAGCCGATGATTTTGGGGGGGAGGGGTTTGCAGCCGAAGGCCGAGTGAGGGGAAAGGAAAAATCTCTCGATGATTTGGGGGGGGAGGGGTTTGCAGCCGAAGGCCAAGTGAGGGGAAAGGAAAAATCTGTGATGATAAAAGTTTGATCTAATAGTTTAAAATAAAAAGATTACAGGAAGGAATCAAGAATAAGCTCTCTTTAGCTTTTACTCACAGAAGTAGAAATATGAGGCTGTCAACATGGTGGTCGAAAGAAAATGAAAGGGGATGCTTGGTGGGGGGGGAGGGGTTTGCAGCCGAAGGCCAAGTGAGGGGAAAGGAAAAATCTGTGATGATAAAAGTTTGATCTAATAGTTTAAAATAAAAAGATTACAGGAAGGAATCAAGAATAAGCTCTCTTTAGCTTTTACTCACAGAAGTAGAAATATGAGGCTGTCAACATGGTGGTCGAAAGAAAATGAAAGGGGATGCTTGGTGCCAAGGTACTTATATGGGTGGAGAGGGGCATATTCTAATGTGTTCATTGCTACCGCAGAAGCTCTAGAATCTTCCGATGAGGCTCTGCGCAGGCGCGAATCACCCAGGGTGTGATTCACAGATGCCACAGAGGAGGACAAGGAACCTGCTGGAGTTGGGGGAATGCTTATGTATTCATCCTTCTGTTTTACACATCCTGAATAAGATAATGGTCTTAGTCTTTAGAACATATGCCAAAATGCATTTCTTGGGAGAATATTTTCTTGAAATTTAGTGGGCATTATAGAGTATCTGATTTTCACAAAATCTCAGAGCTAATGGCTAATGTAAGTGAAGGGTACTTACCAGAGATGGGCACTTCCCATGGTTTGGCAGATCAGGCCCACAGGGGCTTGGTTTGCATGCCCTGCCTCCTCCCAGGGGCACCCAGTCAGAGGAGGAGACAGGACAGGGCAGCCTTTAGACTGTTTCTGATGGGGAGCTTGAGGGAGGAAGTGGGGCGTGAAATCCAGGGCACACCTGTACACACCTGTGGGCCCTACTGGTCCAACTGCCAAACCGTGGTTAGTGTTCATCTCTGGTGCTGACCCTCTGTATTTGTCCTCTACATCCTCACCCTTTCCATACCAAAATATATTCTTTTGTCTTTCATGAACTTCTGTTACATCTGCTTACAGCACACGGATCCATCTGATAGTACAATTTCCTGCTATCTTTCAAGGATATTTAGGAAGGACTAGATTCTGCTTTTGTGGAGAGCCTAGAAATATCTGGTCTCAGGGTTCATCTACTCATTTTAATTTTACATCCAAGCAAGTATATACAGTGGTGCCTCGCTTAACGAGCACACCGTATAACGACAAATTCGCATAGCGATCTCTTTTTTGAGATTGCTAATGCAATCGCATACCGATGGTCTCTATGGCCAAAAATCGCATTGCGATGTCAGGAAATCGGCTGTTTGGCGGTTCCAAAATGGCCGCCACAACCATTTTTGCGCCCTGCCCTCGCTTACCGAGGGCACGAAAATGGCGGTGCTATGAGGAAACATCGCTTAACGGTGAGTTTAGAAGCCATTGGAACGCATTAAGCTAAGTTTAATGTGTTCCTATGGCATTTTCCTATCCGTATAGCGATGTTTCCCCATAGCGATGGTTAATCCGGAACGGAATAACCTCGCTATGCGGGGCACCACTGTACTGTATATGATTACAACTTACTGTAACGTTAAACTTCAAACCTATCTGCATTTATTTAGATGTACACTCCAGTGAACTCAGAAAGGCTTATGTCTGAGTAAATGTGCATAGGATAAGTGCTAGGACTCCATGGAGTGAAGGAAAACATTTCCTAATTGTCTTGTAGCATAAAAGCCTTACTGTAAGTGGTTGAAATCCAAATTTTTGCATGAACAAGTCTGCTACTGCAGACTAGAGCTAATTAGAAATAAAGTGAAGCTAATAGCAGTGTTTTTTAAGCATCCATTGTGAATCAAATATTAGAATGAGAAATCATGACAGGAAAAAGCAGAGGAGGAAGTTACGGACTTTATTATTTACATTGGTTCAAATTTACTTTCTGTTTCACAAATGAGAGAAAAATAAAATAGTAAATAAAAATGGTCATTATCGCGGTAGGAGAAAAAGAGGATGAGAGAACATTTTTATTTCCCTAAGGATGTCTCATTTAAATTAAAGGCCTGTCAGTTAAAAACAGAACCAAACCCACAAATCACCCATGAAACATTACTTTTTTTAAAAAAACCCCTGCTTTTATGGCAGCTAAAAACTTCCACTGAGGAAAGCAGTACTGAACTACCTAATTGCATCATTGCATTACAGAGGTTATTCATTCACAATTAGGAGTACAAACATCCTATTTGTAAAGAGCATCCCTGGATTCTAACCCAGATATGGGGAGGCTATAGCCATCTAGAAATGAATAAACATCCATTCCCATCATCCCCACCAGGAAAGTTGCTGAGAACTAGAGCCAAACAATATTAGAGGGCCACAGGTTTCCTGTTTCTGCCCTGAACAAAGTCTTCCCTTTTCAGATTGTAACATAACACTCTTTATTAAAGGCACTGCACCATTTTATAATAACAAGGTAATAGTGCAATATGCCACTAACACTCTCTCTCTCTCTCTCTCTCTCTCTCTCTCTCTCTCTCTCACACACACACACACACACACACATTCTAACAAAGTTAAGAGAAACACAAGCATCAGATAAAGAACTGATCAAAGAATTTGAATCCAGATACTGTCAGAATCTGAAACAAGATTCCATCAGTTCTTATTCGGCCAGTTGTGTACAAATTTGGAGCTGCATTCATTCAACACTCTTTTCACCACTGTAGTAGAGGAAGGACACTGCCCATGATTGTTGACTGGTTATTTCCTCCACATCTTACAAATTTAGCTATGTAACTAGATTGGCATTAAAGGCATGAGGCAAGAAATAACCATTTGAATGGCAGACGGACGGAGGGACTTTGTGGTGCAGCCGGTAGACTCACAGAAACTCTCAACGAATTATCCAGAGATAAGAGACACACACATACACCCACACTGCTTCCATCTTTATCAGACACAGAATAAATTAATACCAAACTTTAACAGTATGATTTCTTTTTATACCCCTTGAAATGACATGGAGCTTTTTGAAAACAACAAATCCCAAGAAACAATGTTTTTGTTACTGTGGTCACTGAAGATGATGCCCTCTTCTGTACCTACATTATTCAAGTATAAATTAAACATTGCACCTTTGTAACTGCTGATTAACAGTGATTAACAGAATTCTCTCCTGCATTTCCTGGCTGCAAAGTTTTTGGTGACTCAGAATTATTTGAATAACTTCTGTTAATTGCTTCAGCCATTAATATCACCCTCCCTCTAGGAAGCTGAGTGGAGCAGAGGAATGAGATGATTACAAGTTGCCTTTAATTTCAACTTTGTGTTGTTGTTGTTTCAATTTTAAAAGCAAGAGACTGACCAATTCTTGTTTAAGTTTAAATATTGTCAGCGATCTGAACAATTAAAAAAACATTGGAATAGGGAGGGAGAGCATCTTCGGACCGTAAGAAAACCACTTGTACAAAGGACATTAATTCATGAAGCTCTTCCACTGACACTGGGTCCTACAAGATGTCTTGGATTCCTTGACGTTGGTGAGTTTTCTCCTCACCAGTCATCATTCATCCAGTGGAAATACTAGCCGAGTGCCTCTGCTCATCACCTCGGGTGCTTCTGTTCCCAGATCCCGTTCCAAGGCCTCTTCAGAAGTACTTTTCATCTTCCTGCCATCAAGGCTGCTAACAGCGGTATGGGAACCAGAAGATCCATTCGCAGTTATGGTAGCATCTCCATACGTCAACGTCAGGTCACTGTCATTCAGGATAAAGTCTGAATCTTCTTCTCGAAGCTGCTCCTGGTTCTGTAAAGTATAGATTGGTTTATTTTTAAAAAGAGAGAGAGAAACAATATATAGACATTCCAGCATCTAACTAACAGTAATTATTTGAAAATAAGACTGAATATGGTACAGCCTTTAAGATAAAAGGTATTGCCAGCTGAAATCCTGCACACACTTAACATCACTTAAAATCAATTGCTTTCAGGGACACCTAGATTTTCTTAAAAATAATTTGAGAGAATGACAGAGAGGTATGCACAAGCTTCTATGTCCATTTACACATGATATTCATACAGGCCAATGTCAAAGCCAATTCCACATCAAGTAGAATAAGAGCACAGAGTGCTTTCCTCTGAAGATGCCGGCCACAGAGACTGGTGAAACATTAGGAAGAACAACCTTCAGAACACGGCCAAAGAGCCCGAAAAACCCACAACAACCAGAATAAGAGCTCTTCCAGACAGTATAAACACCTAATTGATTTATATTTTTTTACATCTGCTGAGATTTGCTGCTACCATTGAACATGTTTTTGCTGGCTTCTCCGGTGCCTTTTCCAGTGAAATTCAAGGGATCCAATACAGTAAAAGAGATAGATGAACATGAATCCTAGTCATAATGAAGCTAGTAGGCCTACTGTTTCTGAAATCAAAGAGAAGCATCCTGTTTTTTCTCCTCTGCCCTCTGGTTTGCTTTGATATCCCACTCCACAACTGGAAAGCTCACCATCTGTCTTATTTATCAATACGAAGAAGACAAAACATGTCCTCAGGCTTATAATTTCTAAAAGAGACAATGTACAGCAGGAAAAGGAAATGGGGAGGGGAAAGGAAACTAAGAAAACCAAGGCATACATCTTTAATGTTATGTTTATTCTAAGGGGACTTTGCTTCTTCCCATGTTCTTTACGAAGACTGATTTATCTTAGAACAAGCTGAGATTTGTAACCAAAACTGTATAATTTCAAGGTCCCAAATGTTTCTTTAAACATACACACACAGACCAGTAACTTTTGTTAAGAGGTGTGCTCAGAATTAGATTGCTTAAAGTGAATGGGACATGTAAATCTTTCTGGTGGAGCTCCAGTAATCTGAAACATTCTTTTGAAAGATGGCCAGAAGAACAATCCATACAGATCTCTGGGGTTCTGAAAATTTTCCAAAAATAACTGGCCTCTTCAATGCTTTGCATTCTTGTAGATAAGGTTTCTTTAATCTACTTGAGAAGTATCACACTCCCTGGACGGAGCCCTTCTGGCACTTACACTGCACAGTAGTAGGCACATGGATTATGGATACTCCTAAATAATAATAGCAATTCTATGTGTTATAGCAAAAAGGGTTCTGGAATGTGATTAGAGGGGAGGATAGAATGTTGTACAAGAAAAGGGAGAGTCTTTGAGTTGGGATTTGTCAGTGAAAACAGTGAGTGGATCTGGGCTAGGGTGGAGGATGAACAGGATTCTTCAGTTAGAAACAGATCCATGAGATGGGATTCTCTCTTTTGAGAAGTTTCTGGGTAAAAAGAAATGGAAATAGCCAAGCATGAAGAGGTTCATCAACGAACTTAGTGTGTCATTTGTCTTCCATTCCCCCATGAATAAAAGCTGCTCCCTGTGGCGACACCCACATCACTCATTCATATTTGTATGAACCTATGAGAGGGCTGGAGGAGCAAAGTCAGCAGCTACAAGAGGCTTGGCTGGAGAAGGAGTCAGATAGGGCTGGTTAGTCAGATAGTGAGGTTTAGTCATTAAGAGAGATAGGGCTGGTTACAGATATATCTAGTGAGGGTGGTAATGAAATGGCAAGCAAATCCTGGCAAGTGTGAGAAGCTTCCTTTCCCTCACCTGTGCATGTGCCAGAAGACTTGTAGAAGGGAAAGGATGTTGTAGCAATCACCCTGTCCTGCATATTCAGCGGTGCATTTGCACGAACCAATAGGGAACTGTTGGGAGGCGGAGCCAGCTAGACAGAAGGGGGGGCTGAAGTGTAGAGCAGATAGGGAAAAGATAGAGAAGAGTTAGATAGAGAAGTTTGAAGAGAAGGTTTGGATTTTGAGGCAGAGAGAGAGAGTTTAGGGAGTGAACAGTCAAGAGTGTTACTGTATTAGTTAAGTATAGAAGAGGTTAAAGGAAAATACTGAACGCTTTGTGTAACTTTGTGCTTGAGAGCTATTCCTGAAACGAACTGTAACCAATAAACCTGTTCTTATTTCAAAGTTAAGTACTGAATGGACCTCAGTCTTTCACAAGATACATAGCTGGTAAAGAGATCAACTGGTGGCAGCGTGGTAAAGTACGTGGTGGGATACATAATGTGAGCTCGTTTGGTGAAACAAGCAGGGGCAACGTGGTAAACGTCACAGATGTGTTCTTGCTTGCTCTTCACAACCAAGTCTCCTTCCCACTCCAGGCTCTGTGTAAAAAGCACAGAACTCAGTGGGGTGGTGGAGAAGGAGAAGTATACACTGTCTGGACAAAGTAGGTGGTCAAAAGGAAGCCATTTCACATTCATTCACCACAGTTTTCCGCTGCATTTGCAGAATCCTGGACCTTGTCCACAACATCACACGCACTAAGACGCCATTAAAATGTATGGATATATGGAATTTAAGAACAGGAATAAAAATCACACGTGCCTATTTCTGATTTCCTCATCTCACCTAACCCCTTTGAAGGGGCATAATTGGCTTATCTTCCAAATGGGAGACACATAGGTGCTATCTATACAGACTGCACAAAACGAGAAGCAAGACAGTTGAAGCAGAACACTTTGGGTCCCGGCATATTAACCATTTCCCCCCTTCAAACACATTATTGATGCTCAGGGAAATGCTTGTGTTAATACGAGTTTAGTGGACATTTTAGGTAGACTTACCTCATAAACCTGAGGAGTCGTCAAGCAACGTGCTATCAATCCACACCAACTCGGAAGAGTTGTTGTTAGCGGAGGGCCGCTGTGTGTGAGAATGGGCTTGAGGTAGCTTTAACAAACTATTAAGGAAAAGAATGGTATCTTTTGAGCAGCAACTGTTGAACTACTCCCTAAATCTTCTGATGTAATATTATTACATGCTTTGAGCCAATCTCTATGTTCACACAGAAAAAGGTGGAAATGGCCTCTGCAACAGCTTCTCCGTATCACTATGAGCAGCGTAATATCGGCCATCTCTGTCTGTAGTACAAACCAATACCAGGAATGTATTTAAAAATTTGTGAAGGAGGCCATGATATGTGTTCACTGTGAGGGACTGAGGACACCTCACAGACCATTTCCAGATTTTTTGAATAGGATCTGATGGGAAGCATGAAGGAGAAGGACTTCGAGGATAAACAGACAGCCAAAATAATA